CGGCGGCGGCGAAGGACCGTGCAGCTGGGCACGTGGCCGACGAGGCTCCTGGGGGCGAGGGCCAGGCGGCACCACCGCCGCCCGATTCAGGAAGAGTGCGAGGGGCCCCGGTGGAGCCCAAGGGGGATCTTCCTAAGGGTCCCCAGAAGGTTCCAGAAGGAAATGGCGTGCGGGCTGTGAAGCCCCTGAAGGAAGACCGGGAGCCAGTGGTCAGGGGTCTGCACCCAGGGCCCCAGGCAGTGCCCCCCGAGGGGCAGGACGCCCTGGGGGCAGGGGCCGCCGACAGAGCGGATGGCGTCGTGGTCCCGGACCCGGACCACACCGCAGGTACGCCGAGAGCCGAGAGCGAGCCGGGGCGTGCGTGCCTGGAGGCCCGGGATGGCCAGCCTGGCCTGTCCGGTTCCCTCCTCGAGAGGCAGGTGTGCAAGGGGCCTGGCGGCCTGGCAGCCACCAGGACACTGCCAGGTGCTCACCACGCCGGCGGGCGCTGCTGCGTGTCCTGTGCACGGGCTGCGGGAGCGCTTGGCGGTGCTGGCGGTCCGCGCCGGCTCAGAGCAGCCTGACGGCTCACGCCTGTTCATCGGCCAGGCGGTCAGCACGGCCCGCAGCCCGGCCAGGAGGCTGTTGAATCTGTTTTATGATTCCCTGGTAACCGTGGTCGAACGTAAACTGTGCTGGGGGAGGGGGGTGCAGGGTGCTTTTAGGGGACCTCTGCTCCCTTCTGTCCCTCCTCCACCTTCCTCCGTCCCCCTCCTTCCGAGTGTCTCCTGTGTGTGCAGGTGGGAAGCCAGCCCCCCAGGCCGGGCAGCCGGCGGAGCCGCGAGGGCAGAGGAGCTCGGAGGGCCAGCCTGGGGAGCACGCCGAGGGCCCGGCCGGGGACCCCGCCGGCAGCAAGCTGGAGGGTAAGGGCTGACTCCTCACGCATCCTCCGGCCCAGGGACACCTCCCTTCCTGCAGACCCCGAGCAGGTGGTGCGAGAAGCAGGGTCGTCTGGGGTCTTTGCAGGGCCCTCGGCCTCGGTGCCTGTGTCCTGCCGACCGAAGGCCCGCCACCAGCCCCGCTCTCCGGCAGCGCCCCCGCCCTGGGACCACTCTCCCTCCCTCGCCCCCCGCACAGTCAGCGCCATCGCCTGGCTCCCGGGACCCTGCTGTGCCCTCAGTCGTGTGTGGGCCTGGCTCACGGGTGACCTTCCTGCCCCGCTCTCGGGGTTCCGTCTCCCTGCGTCCGGGCGCCTCGGCACCGCCTCGCTGTGGTTCTTGGTCTTTCCCTCGAGGAGAGTTCTCACGCCTCCCCTCTGCCTCTCTCCCTCTGCCTCTCTCCCTCTGCCTCTCTCCCTCTGCCTCTCCTCGGGACGCGCAGCTGAGATAAAAAAGCTAGTAGCAGGTAGGCTGCAGGCATGTGTCCCAGCGAAGCGTGAGGGTCGGGGGAGCCCAGGGCTGCATGGGTACGCGGTCACGTGACGGCCCGGCACAGAGCACGTGGGCAGAGCCCGGGAGCTACACATACAACCACCCTCCAGCCCGTTGGGGTCCCCGATGCCCCAACTTGCCCCCTTCTCACACAAATGCCAAGATGGCTCCCAGTCTTAGAGGCCCTGCCTCGGGGGAGGGGGTCGTGTAACTTGTGCCGTGTGCATGGCCTGTGTTCATACGTTCTGCATGTGTGTTAGCCTCGGCAGCTCTCACCCATCTGCAGGTGATCCCGTGGGCTCGGGCTGGGGCACAGCATGTCACCTCCTCTCTGCCTCAGGCCTGTCCGTGTGCCCCTCTGGCGCTGGTGCAGGCTGGTTCTCTGGGAGCCGGTGGGCAGCACCTCCAGAGCCGCCTGGGCCCTGTTGGGGCCAGACTTGTACCCCCAGCAGCACACGGCCGAGCGCCCTGGGTGCCGAGGCAGGTGGCCGTGGGTCCTTGTGCCTCCCTCACCCAAAGGGAGTGGGGTTTCTGATCCCACCCGTGGCCGTGGCCTTCATTAGGCAGGTGTCAGGTGCCCTGGGTGGGCACTGCTGAGGGTCCGTCCTCCCCGTGGGCAGCCTTAGCCTTCCTTCAGGCCGCGGCCTGCACACCCATGCCCTCTCCAGCGGGAGAAACCGAGTCCCTGGGAAGTGGCACTGGTAGGCGGGCATAGCTGGGTGTTGGCCCTCCCGCTGCAAACGCTTCTTGCTTCGTGTGAGCTTGCCCCCCGGGCAGCTCTGCCCAGTCACATGTCAGCCAAGCGTCTAAAGCCACAGGGTCGTGACTGCTCGCCCGCCCATGCTGGAGATCGGAGGGAGGGGCTCCCGTCCCCGTGGGGGCTACAGGTGCCCAGCCTTGGGCCTCCCCTGGACACGCTGGCGCGTGGCCCGCGCAGCTGGCTGCAGCCTGTGTGGGCGGGGCTAAGGCAGCAGGATGCTGCGTGAGAGAAGCAGTTCTGTCTGTTTTCAAACCCCCCTGGAGGAGCTGTCCTGCAGGCACAGCCTTCTTTCCCAAAGTGTTTACAGCCAGCCACCGAGCCCAGGTGACACGGTGCCGCTGGGCCGGGCCCCGTGGGCAAGCAGGGGTGCCTGGGCTCCGCCGGGGTGTCTGAGCCCCCCGGCCGGGCCGGAACACGCCCAGCTCCGCCTCCTGGACCTGCAGGGGACGCCCTGCCCGAGGGCATCCTGGGAGGGCCCCGCAGCGCCTGGCATGCTCGGGCGCGGGCTCTGACGGGTGTCCCCCCAGACGCCGGCCGTGTGGAGAGGCTGGACCACGAGGTCCTGCTGCAGGTGATCAAGGAGCAGCAGGTGCAGCAGAAGCGCCTCCTGGACCAGCAGGAGAAGCTGCGGGCGGTGATCGAGGAGCAGCACAAGGAGATGCACCAGCAGCGGCCGGACGGCGAGGACGGTGAGTGCTGGGGGGGCCTGAGGAGGGCTGTGGGGCTGGGGCCTGAGTCCTGCTGGGCACATGTCGGTGGTGGGTTGTGTTCTCTCAGCCCCGGCATCGGTGGCTTCTGCGCGTTCCTGTGCTGAACCAGTCCCTTCACTTTCAGTGGATGCGCCGGGCGAGCCTGGGGTGGCCGCACCGAGGAGCAAGGAGCAGGAGGCCCAGGACGCGGCGACAGTGGCGCACCCCCCGCTGCAGCCTCTGGAACCCGAGCTCAGGGCTCCCGGGCAGCCCCCTGCTCCGCCCCAGGGACACAGCCAGCGCTCCCTGCAGGAGCCCCAGGGGGCTCCGGGCGGTGTGGACACAGAGCCCAGGAAAGACCAGCCTGGCGCCCAGCCCCAAGCGGCAGGTGTGCGGGAGGGGGCCCCAGAGCCCCATCTTGCTGGGGCCCCCAGGAGCGCAGAGAAGCCCGATGCCGGGGCCGCCGCTGGACAGGGTCTGGATGTTCTTGGCGGAGGCCCTCCGGAGAGGAACAAGTCCCACAAGGAGGCGGCAGCCGCCGGTGCCCGTGTTCCGGGAGCCGGGGCAGGGGCAGCGGCCCCTCCAGTGCAGCCCCAGCAAGTGAACCAGGACCGGGCAGCTGCAGGCCCGCCCAGCAGGTCGGAGGGAGCAGCCCCCAGGGCCCCGGCTGGGTTCCATCAGCCGGAACGCCGAGCTTTCACCGTCAGGGCCCAGGGAGGCCACCCAGAGGCCAAGGAGGCGGCCCTGGGCGGGGACCACGTGCCTGCCCCCAGGCAGGACGCCGCCATCCAGACGCCCGAGCAGAAGTCAGACCCTGAGCTCGGGCCCCAACAGGCCGTGCCCGGGGCTCAGAAGCTGGACAATGTCAAACCGAACCGAGACCTGAAAGTTCAGGTTGGCGCCGACCTCAGGAGGAGACGGCGGGACGTGGCTCCTGCAGACGAGGGACTGGTCCCCCACGAGGGGGCCATTGTCCACTTGGACCCCCTGCCTGATGTGCGGGTCGGCGACCTCCGCAGTGCCCTGGACGCCCAGCTCCGCCAAGCCGCGGGGGGCGCCCTGCAGGTGGGCCACAGCCGCCAGCTCCAAGAGCTGCCCGGGGCCCCGGAGGAGGCCTGAGGCTGCAGCAGCTGCTGCTCCCGGTCTGCTGGCCTCTGCAGCCGGCCAGGCCGCCGGGAGCCTGGAGCCGGTCCCGGAGGCCATGCTCGAGGGCCGTCTGAACTTGTCAGGTGACCGGCTCACTGCGGCCCCTCCGTGTTCCGAGAAGGTCCGTGCAGCTGTGGGTCTGAGTGAGGGCCGCTGCCGCCGGTGCTGACCTGTCCCAGGCCCAGCTGCCGGCCCAGCCCCGGCCCCGATCGCGTCTCAGTGTTGGGTCTCACGTCCCGAGTTGTAGAAAATTTAGTGAACGTTCTGCCTTGACCACGAGCGCTGCTGCCTGTCTGAGTGCACCCCGCCCGCCACACGGCTCTGCTCCCCGCCCCTTGTCCCCCAAGTACCCTGGGCTTCAAAAATAAAACCATTCCAGGCCGGTGCGTGGCAGGTGGTGAGGTGAGTTACCGGAGGAAGGTGTGCAGGACTGAATGGACCTCAGCCAGGGGCCCAGTGCCAGGCGTGGGGTCGCACACACGGCCCAGGATGGGCCTCCCCGCAAACAGCAGCCACTGTGGGTGCCCTTCTCCTGGGGCTGCCAGGCTCGGCCGTCCCCGCTGAAGCCCGCTCACCTGTCGGTTTTTCAAGGAGCAGAAAAGCCCCTGGAGCCACCGGCAGGTGGACCAGCTGTCCCATGAGCCCAGGGCCTCCCCGCTTTGTGGGGTGTGGGCATCCAGACTCCCCTCTGGGGCGGAGGTCTCCAGCTGGAGCCTGCCGAGGGTCCCGCCACCCTGGCCTCAGGAGTGTGTGTGTGTCCTCACGTGAGGATCTTGTTCCCATTGCTTTTCAGAGAACGGAGAAAGGTCTGAAGGGGAGAGGCAGGGGGAGGGAGAGAGGGAAAGAGGGAGGAGGAAGATGTGGAAGACACATTGGCTGGTTGTGCCTGATGGGGGCGGGGAATGAACTGCCGCCAGATACATGCCCTCGCCTGGGACGCGAACCCGACGCTTTGTGGGTGGGCAGCCGCTCTAACCATAGAGCCACACCAGCCAGGCCGATTTTAAATTGTTATAGTTCTACGCACTGGGCAGCTTGCCGAGCTGACTCCTCGGGGTCTGGGGAGGGAGCCCTGCGTGCTGGGCTGCCTGTTCCCGGGGAAGCCCTGGACATCCCGTGGGGCCGCGGGAACAGAAGTGGGTGCTTGTGGTGCCCCCACCTGCAGCAGAGCAGCCCGCAGTGGCCTGGAATGAGGCCCAATGGTGGGAGCTGGCAAGGGTGGCAGGAGGGAGCACCCGGTGGGACTGGTGTGCCCAGTGGGAATGCCAAAAGCTGTCAAAGAGGTCAGAGTGGAGGGAGGGAGGGAGGGTCAGGGAGAAGAGGTATGGGCAGCATCAGACAGGCCCACCTGCCCAGCAGGAATGTCTCCCTCACCCTGGCGGGGGCGTGGGCACTGGATTTTGTCTGGAGACCCAGTGGTTGCTGTGAAACGTGACTGCCCAGCAGCCCCAGCTCAGGATGAGGGCCGGCGCCCCACGAAGCTACCAGGGCCGTCTCACTGAGATGGACACTCGTGTCTGAGACCTGGAGGCCTCACCACTAGGGGGGAGTCGGGCTAATTCTGGAGTTTTAAGCAGAGACGGAAGTGCAGGCCCGGTTCTGGAGCTCAGGGACGCCAGGGCGGGGAGTCCAAGGACCATGTGACCTCCGTGCCCCAGGAGAGGGTCTCAGAGCGGCCCAAGCTCCCAGGGGGTGGCACCCAGGAGTGCGGGCTGAGGCCTGGGGCCCGTGTGTGGTTCTCAGGACGGGGTGGGGTGGCCTGCAGGCTCGCTGGCCTAGAAGCTGCTGGGCTCCTACCCCCGCCCTGGGCTCAGCTTCCTGCCCTCCGCGAAGGCCCCCAGCCCTGCTCCTGCCCCGCCAAGCCTCTGCGTGGGCCGGCTGGACCCACAGGTAACATCCAGAGGCGTCGTGAGGTTCGGGAGACATTTTATTGGTGGGAATTCTCTAAAAAATGAGACTCAGGAGGCAGCGTCCCGCACCCCACGCGCCCGGCAGGTTCCTGGGGGCGAGGCCGGGCCGTGCACCCCCAGTGCCCCCAGGCGTGACCCGATGGGCCTCTGGCTGGTTCCCCCGCCCGTTCTAACCCGGTGTCCACGCTGCTCCGGCGGGGCGGGCCCAGTGCCTTCGCCCCAGGGCTCTGGGTGTTCCAGGCGCTGGCTCTGGGCCCCGTCCGGCCTAGGGGCCTCCCTTCAGGGCGTCCTTGGCCTGGAAGAGGAGGTGCTTCGTCTGAGCGCGTGGTTCCCAACGGACAGCTGCGGTACCGCCGCCAGGAAAAGGCCGTCCTCCCGCCAGTGCCTCCCGGAGAAGGGGAGCTGGGCCGCGGGGGGTGGGTTCCGGGTGGAGCACACCCCCCTCCCCCCCGCACCCCACCCTGACGACGGCACCACAGGTTCACAAGGCGCTGCCACGCACCCGCCACGCTCCCCACCTGCCGGGCACACGGGCTCCTGGCGGCGGGGCCGCGCGTGCAAGGTCAGCCTGCAGCGTCGGCAGCACCAGCCTGTGCCCGACAGGGACCGCGGGAGGGAGGGGAGGCCCGCGGGACACTCGCCGAGGCGGGGCCGGGAGGGCGCGTCCACCTACCGCGGCGGCGAAGCAGCGCCGCAGGGCCTCGAACTCCTGCGCGCAGAGGTCCTTCCTCAGGCGGCCGCCCGGGGCCGTGGACGCCTGCACGCAGCGGCCGTAGGCGACGGCCTGGGGGCGGGCGGCGCGGGACAGGGTCGTGGCGGCCTCTGGGCCCGTGGGTCCCGGCGCAGCCCCCGCCCCTCCCCCCCGCCCCCGCCAGCGCCCCAAGCCCCGCCCCGTCCCGCAGGTGCTGCCCCGACCCACAGCTCCTCACCTCAGCCCTACAGGCCGCCAGGCGCTCGGGGAAGGCGCGGAGGCGGCATCGCACGCGCCCCCACACCGCTCCGTTCCCCGACATGAGCACCTCTTCCTGGTACCCGTGGGCGCCGCCATTTTGGGTCCGGCCCCTTCCGGGAAACCACCCCTTGATAGGTTGACTCTTCCGTCCATCACCTTTCTCCAGCTTTTTAATAGGTCAGGTTTCAGCCTTCCCCTCGATCTCTCCGGAACCGCGGTCTCCAGGAACCCTATAATTGGCTGGGAAGCTGTCTGTCATTCATCTGAGACTTCGGGTTGGTTAAGGCTCAACTTGTTGACCTAAGTCCGGCTCAGGTCCCGCCCCACGCGAGCGATTGGCCAGCGGGCCAGACCCGCGCGGTGATTGGAGGGGCTGGGATCGGGGCTGGGCCGGAAGGTGACCTGCATCATGGCCGCCGCGCCGCTGCTGAGAGACCGGCTCAGCTTTCTGCACCGGGTGAGAGCGCGTGGCCCGACCCCGCTGCGCGCCGCCTCCCCCGCCTCGCCCGGGGCCACAGCCACCCGCCTCCCGCCGGGGCCCCCGTGCCCCGGTCCCTCCCGGGCTCCGCGCCCCCCGCCGGCTCCCCGCCCCGCCCCTGCTGCCGGCGGCGGGAGCACTCAGCCCGGCGTGACAGCCGGGCACGTGTGACACGGGCGGCGCCTTCGCGTCCCCGAGGCCCTGTGCCGCCTCCCGGCGAGGCGCGTGGGGCACGGGGCTCCGGTCCGCACCCCGCGCCGGGGAGGCAGCGCTGACAAGGCCACGCGCGGCGGGGCCAGCGCTCCTCCCGCGGCTCCTCCCTGAGGTCTGTCCCGAGTCCCGCCGTGGTGCGTCCGGCGTGGGGGCCGGCCACCGCCCTGCTCCGGGGGGACGGGCCGCCGCCTCCGCTGGGGAAGGGCTTCCCTCTGCTCTGGGCTCCGCCAGGGGATGTGCAAGGGAGCGGCCTGGGCTGCCCCTCCGCCCTCCCGCCGCCGCCAGCGGGACCATCGCCGGGCAGCGCCAACCACGGCGCCCCCAGGAGCCCCCGGATGGCTGGCCCCTCTGGGGGCCCCGTGGGCTCGCCCCTGCGCCACCCGCTCACGGCGGCGCTCTCGCTGCCTTTCAGCTCCCGATCCTCCTGAAGGGAACGTCCGACGACGACGTGCCGTGTCCGGGCTACCTGTTCGAGGAGATCGCCAGTATCCTCCGTGTCCCGCAGGCCCCGGGCCCCCGGAGCCGCCAGGGGTGGCCGGGCCGGGAGCCGCGTTTCCGAGGACAGGAGCCAGGGAGGCCCCGGTGCCCGGTGCTCCTGAAACCCCGCCTGGGCTGGGTGCCCGCAGGGAGGCACCGGACTGTTGGGTGACGGAGGCCCGTCAGCTCCATCCTTCCTTAACCCGAGCGCCCTCCAGAAATCTCCCACGAGTCGCTGGGCAGCAGCCAGTGCCTCCTGGAGTACCTGCTGAGCCGCCTGCAGAGCGGCTCCGGCCGCGTGAAGCTCAAGGTGAGGCCGGCGTGGCCGCTGACCCCCGGGGGTCAGGTCCACCCACGCTCACACCCGGGTGGGGAGGCGGAGGGGTGTGAGGCGGGAGGGGCAGGAGGCGGGAGGCAGGGGTGGGTGGGTGGGGCCCCCGGGCCTGGCCCCGCCCACGTGACCGTGCCCCAGGTGCTGAAGATCATGCTGCACCTGTGTGGCCACGGCTCCTCCTCCTTCCTGCTCCTCCTCAAGCGCAACTCCGCCTTCATCCAGGAAGCGGCAGGTACCAGCCGGCGAGTCCCTCAGCCCCGCGGCCCCCACCCCTCGGGCCCCCCAAACCCTTGCTCCCACCTGGGTCCTCTGTCCCCAGATCTGCTTCCTCCACCTGTGGGGTCCTCGTCTCTCCAGCGGCCGGTGCCCTGCTAGGACCGGCTGTCGGCTGCCTGTCCCCGTGCCCGGCGGGCACACTCGGTACCCGGCCACAGGGCAGTTCCCGGCCGAGGCCGAGGAAGCACAGTATAAGCCTTAGGGGCGGGGAGCGGGGAGGGACCTCTGAGGCTTCCCCAGCGGGGCCTGGCCTGTCCTGATTGGGTGCCAGGTGGGTCTGGTGGAGCCCCTCACCGCCCCTCACCCCCAGCTGGGGTGGCTGTGCATCTCCCTAACAAGGACTGTGGGGGTGGGGCCTGAGAGCTTCCCCTCAGTGGGGGGAGTCCTGGCCCAGGTCAGTCTCGGGGTGCACCGCCCCCACATCCCCACGGGCCCTGAAGGAGTCTGGAAGGGCTGCCCTTCAGGCCAGACCCACCTCACAGGCCGCCCCAGAGAGCAGCACCAGACAGGGGCCGAGCTGCCTTGGCTCCCAGGTGCTGTGGGAGCCCTCAGCTGCCAGGCAGGGGGACTGGAGCGCAGACCTTGTTTCAGGGACTCCCCGGTGGGGCGGGGGTGGCCGAGGTCCGGGGCAGCGCCCGCTCAGCCGCCCTCCTGCCCTGCAGGGTTCACGGGACCCCCGGACCCTCTCCACGGGAACAGCTTGTACCAGAAGGTGCGGGCGGCCGCCCAGGTGAGCCCGGACCAGCTCCCCGGGACCCAGCGGCTCCCGCTGGGTGGCCCTCGGGGGAGGGGGGGGGCAGGGGCACAGTCGGATGTGTGGCCACACTGAGCACCTCACTCCTGTCTAGGACTTGGGGAGCACCTTGTTCTCGGACACCTTGTCCCCTCCTCCCCCCGCCCAGCCTCCCAGGACCCTGCCTCCCTCAGGTACGCAGCCTTGTCCAGCTCGTCACAGGGTCCCCTGGGGTGGGCCCAGGGGCCTCCTCTCCAAGTATCGGGGTGACTCGGGTTCCCCCGCAGGCATGGGCTCCCAGTCCCGGCCCCAGAGCGCCCTCCAGGGCTTTGGCTACAGCAAGGAGCCCAGCCCCGCGGGTGAGTGCTGCCCGGGCTCCGGGCGGGGAGTGGGCGGGAGTGGGCGGGAGGGCCCAGGAGTGGGAAGAAGGTTGCAGGAGTGGGCGGGAGTGGGCGGGAGGGTGCGGGAGTGGGGGGGAGTGGGCGGGAGTGGGCAGAAGGTTGCGGGAGTGGGCGGGAGGGCCCGGGAGTGGGCGGGAGGGTGCGGGAGTGGGGGGGAGTGGGCGGGAGTGGGCGGGAGTGGGCGGGATTGCCAGGAGTGGGCAGAAGGTTGCAGGAGTGGGCAGGAGTGGGCGGGAGGGTGCGGGAGTGGGTGGGAGGGCCAGGAGTGGGCAGAAGGTTGCAGGAGTGGGCGGGAGTGGGCGGGAGGGCCCAGGAGTGGGCAGGAGTGGGCGGGAGGGTGCGGGAGTGGGCAGAAGGTTGCAGGAGTGGGCGGGAGGGTGCGGCAGCGGGTGGGCAGTCTACAGTGGGGGCCACAGGAGTGCAGGGCGTGGCCGAGTCCGGCTGCTGTGCTGCCCGGGGTCACAGCTCGGCCTCGGAGGCTCCGGCCCTGGAGTGGAGGCCCTGGGCCGGCGCCATCCCCCGTCCTCTGTGCAGGCTCCACGGGGGAAGCCCTCCTCGCCACCCTCCAGAAGGCTGCGGAGGTGGTGGCCAGCGCCGTGCGCCCTGGGCCCGAGGGCCCCGGCTCCCAGGGGCCCCGGCTGCAGGGGGACGCCTACCAGCCCGCTGTGACGCCTTCCGCCAGCCACGGCCGCTTCGCCCCGGGGAGCCCACCCCCTGGTGCCTGCCGGGGTGCCCGAGGTACCGGGTCTGACTTCTCGTCCGTGGGCTCCTTCCTGCCACCTGCTGGGCGATGTGAGGAGGGCAGCCCCCCCACCTGACACCAATGCCACCCTCGTCCCCTGGTGGCTGCACGCAGGCCGCACTGCCCAGCGTGGGCTCGGTGTGGGACGACCCTGGGTGGGTGGGGCTGGCTGAGGCCAAGGCCCCAGCTCCCAGGTGCAGGGCCAGACATGGGCTGGGCCAGAAGCCCTTCCGTCCTGAGCGGTGGGTGCCCGTCTGGGCGGCTCTGCCTCTGGCCCCGGCGTCGGGTGGCTGGGCAGCAGCTCAGGTTGACTGAGAACGACGTGCTGTGTCCCCGGCCTGAGCCCCACGCCGTGTGTCCGCCCGGCCTGTGTGAGGGAGCACCCTCTCGGACCCACTAGGCCCCCAGTCTGGGGTCCCCGGGAGGTGGTGTGAGGCCAGTCTGAGGCCCCAGGTCTCACCGAGGTCACCTTTCTTCCAGCCGCCAGACACCAGCCGGGCCAGGCGGGCGGGGGCTGGGACGAGCAGGACAGCAGCCCTGGCTCGCGGGGTTCTTGCCAGGAGAACGGCCGGAGCAGGGCCTCGGGCTCAGGCACCTGGTCGGGCAGTGACAGCCCCTCGGGGGCCAGCGGGGCGCCCGGTGACCAGGCTGAGAGGTGAGCATGCACTCGGGGTCCCGACCAGAGGGACATGACCTGGAAGGCGGCCCTTTGCCCGCCCGCTGTGCCCGGCCCCTCCGTGCTCTCACTATCAGGGTTTGCCCAGGGGCGTGGCCTGGAAGGCCATCCTGCCCACCTGCTGTGCCCTGCAGGGTGGAGGCCATGGCCCTGAGCGACTGCCAGCAGGAGCTGAGCCTGGTCCGGACGGTGACACAGGGGCCGCACCCCTCCCTGAGCCCCGAGGAGGCTCAGCGCTTCATCAGAGAGTGAGCCCCGCCCAAGGCCCCCGCCCCCGCCCCCTCCTCCGTCCCCCCCTCCGCGCTCCCCAGGGAAGGGCCCGGCCGCCACCCGCCCACCTGCCCTCGCGCCCTCCGCAGGTGTGGGCTGCTCAACTGCGAGGCGGTGCTGGAGCTGCTGACTCGCCGCCTGGGCCTGCCCGGCGAGCACGCGCAGATGGTGAGGGGGTGCGGGCGGGCGGGCACGGGCCCCCTTCCTGGGTCTGCCCCGGGAGGGGGTGCGGGGCGAGCACAGGGGGCAGTGGGGCTGCCAGGAGGTCCTGGGGACTCGGTTTCCGGTGGAGCCTGCTGACCCCCTCCCGCCCCGCAGAGAGCCCTGGGCGCCATCGCCACCCTGGGGTGCACGGACCTGCTCTCCCAGGAGCACCTGCTGCTCCTCGCCGGGCCTCGCCTGCAGGAGCTCAGCACCCACAGCCCCGGGCCCGTGACCAGCAAGGCCACCAAGGTGGGCAGCGCCGAGCCCAGGGCAGTGGGTGGGGGACCCCGTCCCTCCTGTCCTTCCCGACAGGCCCCTTCCCTGCCGCTGTCCGCCCTGGACGAGCCGTGCTCCAGAGCAGCTCGCAGCCTCCCTGCCCACTCACCCGCCTTCCTGCCCAGCAGCTCCTCTCCCCCTGGTTCGCTCACGTGCCGCCTCCTGTAGGAAGCCCTCCTTGATTGCTCGGGTGGGTCTATTCCACTTTCTCCACTCGTGTCACAGCTCCTGGTCTGTGCTCGGCTCCCCAGTGGGCCGCCCCCCCACCCCCACCCCATAGCCGGGCCCGCAGCTCCCCTGCCTGTGCACCCCCCTTCCTCTGTGGCCGTGGAAGTTCAGATCCTCAGTGTCCATCCCAGCATCGGGGCGGCTGCGGTGGCTGAAGGCGCGCCGTTCCCGGCGCCTCTGCCTGTGCCGCGGGCCAGGAGGCCGGTCGATGGCAGGGAAGCTGTTCGTGAGGCAGCAGAGGGGAGGTCGCAGGCGTCGTGGGCACCTGTGTGCCCAGTGTGAGCAGCTTGAGGCCTGCTCCGCCCAGCAGGCCCTGCCTGGGCAGCGCTGAGGAAGGCTCGGAGAAGGGGTGCGTCCTCTGGGGCCCCCAGGACCACTGGGCCCTCAATGGCCCCTTCCTCCCGCCTAGATCCTGAGGCATTTGGAAGCCTCCTGCCGACAGCACGCCGCTGCCCGGAGGCCGCTGGCCGAGCCCCGCCCCGCCTCCCCCTGCGTGGGCCCGGCTGACCTGCTGACGGACGCCCTGCCTCTCGCCGGGGCCCCCGAGTTCCTCCAGCCTCTGAGTTCAGTCCTGCCCTCCCCCAGGGGCCCTGCAGCTCTGGGTGGGCGCCCTGTCCCAGCCCTCGGGGGCCCCAGGAAGGCAGAGCCCAGACTGGCAGTTCCCAGAGACCAGGAGGCCAGCCCAGAGCAGGGCCGGGCGGGCTCGGATGCTCTGAACGGAGGGCCGGCATCCGGCCCAGGCCCAAGCGGCAGCCACACGTCCCTGTTCGCTGGCATGGAGCTGGTGGCCTGCCCCCGCCTGGTGGAGGCGGGCCCTGGTGCCCAGAAGCCCCCACAGCCCCCATGGACGCTGGCACCCAGGGCGGCGGCCCCAGAGCCTCCTGGCTCAGAGCCGTCGGCTTTCGCCTTCTTGAACTCATGACCCGGCGGTGGCTGCGCACAGGCCCTCGGCCCTCCGCCCAGGTCGACGTCGGCCTCTCCCGCACCCTGAGGCCTCGGTGCGGGGAGCAGCCAGCCAGGTGAGCGCGGCGTGGACGAGCCGTCCACGACCGAGCAGGAGCCACGAGCTGGCCAGAACCACGTGGAGGAGGGGGCGGCAGGCAGGACTCGGATGGGGGTGGTGCAGAGCCCCCAGTGCCTGCGGGCCCAGGGGCTGAGCTGGGTGCAGACTGGCAGCCGGCGGCCCAGGCCGCTGGGCCTCCCGCCTCACTGCCGCCCAGTCTGGCCGCCTGAGCACCGTCCGACCCGTGGTCCATCTGCAGATCCGGCCCCGTGCGGTGGGAAGGAGGGGGCTGGTGGTTGAGCTCGGAGGCAGACCTGCCGAGCTGTCTCCTGGGCCGTGTCGGAGGGGCCAGGGCCAGACACCAGGCGGGAAGGCAGACCTGGGCTGCGCGGTCTCCCTCCTCCCAGAGGCTGCTCTCGGCCTGGACCTCCCGTGGCCGCAGGGAGCCGGGCGGCAGGGCCTCGGAAGGAGGGTTCGTGTGGATTGGAACCAGGCTCGGCTCTGTGAGCGCAGAGCCCTCCTCCTGCAGGGCCATGGGCAGCCTGGGGCAGCCCTGTGGCCGGGGCACCCTCTGCCGAGGCTGCTTCCTGCAGACGGCAGGGCGGCCTCTCGGGAGCTTCCTGAATAAACGGTTGTGTCACGGAGTGCTTTTCCTTCGTGTGTGTGTGTGTGTGTGTGTGTGAGTGTGAGTGTGAGTGTGTGAGTTTATGTGTGTGTATATGTGTGTGAAAGTGTGCGAGTGTGGTGAGTATGTGCGTGTGAGTGTGTGTGGTGTGTGTGAGTGTGGGTGTGAGTGTGGGTGTGTGAGTGTGTGTGTGAGTGTGAGTGTGTATATGTGTGAGTGTATGTATGTGTATATGTGTGTGAGTGCGTGTGGTGTGTGTGTATATGTGAGTGTGTGTGGTGTGTGTGAGTGTGTGTGTGAGTGTGGGTGTGTGAGTGTGTGTGTGAGTATGTGTGTGTATATGTGTGAGTGTATGTGTGTGTATATGTGAGTGTGGGTGTGTGTGAGGGAGAGGGAGAGAGTGTGTGCACGCTTGCACTTTAATGCGATAGCCATACGAAGGGGCACACTCGGAGGACTTCTCCAGTTAGGGACAGCCATCATTTCTTTCCTAAATGTTTTGTAGAACTATCTGATCCTATAATTTTCTTAATTGCAAAGTTTTTAACTTTGAAATTCAATTTCTTAAGTAGTTATAGGACTATTGGGGTCATATATTTCATTGTGAATTTCAGTTACTTGTGTTTTTTAAGGGATCAGTCCATTTCATGAAAGTTGTCAAATTGTCCTTTTAGTTTATGTTCCATCCTTCATTTCTTTAAAAATTTTATTGATTATGGTATCACATAATTGTCTTCATCCCCCTATTCCCATCCCAAACCCCTCCCCACATATGCCCCCACCCCCGTGCTGCCCATGGCCACTGGCTAGGCCCATGTGCATGCACACAAGTCCTTTGGTTGATCTCTCCCCCTTACCCCACCCTCTCCTGCTTTCCCTCTGAGGTGTGAGACGTCCTTCATTTCTGATAGTGACAGTGTTTTCCTCTCTTTCTTAGTCTGATTAGAAGTTTATTAAGATTGAACTTTTCAAAGAACTAACTTCTGCTTTTATTTTTCCGTAGCTTTTGTGTTTCTACTTCATTGATTTCTGCTGTGACTACCTTCAGTGGTGTTTGTATTTTTCTAGTTCTTCAAGGTGGAAGTGTGGGTGGTTTTTTGAGAACTTCATGATGCTCTAATATAAAGCATTTTAATGCTGTAACTTTCCTCCTCTTCTGCTTTGCCTGCATCCCAGGAGCTGATTTATTTTTATTCCGCTCGGGATGGTGGCTAGCTCCCCTGAGACCTTTTTTTGTCCGGTGGGTTAAAGATATGTGTGCCTCCTATTAATTGATGCAATCATTTAGCATTTTGTATGACTTACATTTTATGGTAAAAAATTTCAGATTTTTGCTAATGTGTGTTTTGTGGTCCAGACTATAAATTTGTGTTGGGGATTGGTCCATGCGCACTTGATCTATAACATAGATGAAAGAAGTCCTTAACAAAATACTAGCAAAAAGCAAAAAAAAAAAAAAAAAAAATTTAATATCAAAAGGAACCTAGCAATATATAAAAGGAGTATGAATGGACAATACATCACGTTAAGTGGGATTTATCGTGGGCTTGGAAGGCTGCTTTCACACCTGAAAATCTAATTCGCCATATTTGCACTCTAATGAGAAATATGCAAAAAGGGCAAGAGCCAGAATCTCACATCCATTCATGAGAGGAAACTCAGCAAAACCGGAAACACAAAAATTTCCGGGGTTTTGTGGGTGCCGGGAGCGGCGTAGGTGCCCACAGGTTGGGGGACCCCTGGCTCCTCGCCGCCCTCCCCGACCCTCGTTCCTACCCACGCCCCGCCCACCCCGTCCGAGGCCCCGCCCTCACACCGGCCGCGTCCAATCGGCAGCCCGCTGCTACGGTGGAGCGGGTCTCTGCGGCTCCTCCCAGGCTTGAAAGACAGCCGCGCGGCCCAATGAGCTCGCACGGCGGCCGGAGCGGCCAGCCGAGGGGCCAATCCGGGCGCGGCGCGGGCAGGGAAGGCGGGGCTCGGAAGGCCGGCGGAGGTGCGGGCTGTTTGCTGGTTGCTAGCTGCCGCGGCCGTCCCCCGCGGCCCGCATTGTCGCCGCGGCCGCGGTGCCGGCGCCGGGGCGGGGCGCGAGGCGGGCGGCCGAAGCCCGGGCCCGCGTCCCAGCCCGCGGCCCGCGCACCGCGCCTCGGGCCCCGCGGCCCCGCGCCCGGGCGGCTCGCGCAGGTGAGGAGCGTGAGGTGCGGGGCCTGCACCGCGGGGCGGCCCGGCCCGGCCCCTCCGCGCGGCCCGGACCCCAGACCCGCTGCCCGCGGGGCGCCGCCTCGGGGCGGGAGGCCGGGCCGGGCCCGCGGGGCTGCGGCTGCGGCTGCGGCGGCCGGGCCCAGAGCCGCCCGCCGGGGAGGGGGCGGCGGTCCGGGGGCTGCCTCCCCCGCACAGGCGGGAGCGGGCCTGGCGAAGGCAGGGGCGGGCCGCGGGCCGTGGGCGTGCGCCCGCCGGGGTCTTTACCGAGGCCTGTCCTCCCGCGGCTGCTGCCTTCGGAGGCTCAGAGGATGCACAGGCCCCCGCGTGGCCAGGAGCCGTCCGGGGGGCCGGGGCCGGGGCCGGGGCCGGGGCCGGGGCCGGGGCCGGGGCCGGGGCCGGGGCCGGGGCCGGGGCCGGGGCCGGGGCAGCCAGCTAGAGCAGGAGAGGGAGGGGCCCAGGCCGGTCCCCACGTCCAGTGCTCCGGCCGCAGGGCGGCTGAGGCTGAGCAGAGGGAGGGGCAGAGGGGCGGGAGCAGGCCATGGGCGGGGTCAGCCCTGAAGGGGTCAGACTGTTCTCTGCCTGGGGGCCATCGAGGCTTAATTTTTAAAATTTATTTTTATTTATTTATTTAAATATATTTTATTGATTTTTCACAGAGTGGAAGAGAGATAGTTAGAAACATTGATGAGAGAGAACCATCGACCAGCTGCCCCCCCCCCCCTTGCCACTGGGCATGTGCCCGCAACCAAGGCATGTGCCCTTGACAGGAATCAAACCCGGGACCCTTGAGTCTGCAGGCCAATGCTCTATCCCCCGAGCCAAACCGGTTTCAGCTAAAATTTGTTATTATTGATGTCAGGGAGGAAGGGAGAGGGAGCAAGGGGTAGAAGCATCGTGCTGAGAGAGGATCACGAACCGGCTGCCTCCTGCACGCCCCCAACCCGGGCCTGTGCCCCGACCGGGAATCGAACCGTGACCTCCTGGTTCCTAGGCTGACACTCATCCATGGAGTTGGGCCTGCCGGGCCCAGCAGGTTTTAAGGCCAGAGGTGGCCCTGTCCCCGGAGGCCGTGTCTGTGCTATTCATCGCTCGCCGTCCTGCTCTGGGCCTGGTTTGGGGGTGGGGGGGGGGTGAGGAGGGGACCGCCGCCTTCCCAGAGAGCTTGGGGGCAGCAGGCCAGAGGCGGGGTGCACCGACCCTGCTCTGCGAGGGCTCATCGCACTTCTCACCTGCCCAGGCCCTCCCGTCCACCATGAGAGGCTCCCAGACCTCCAGCAGCCCCCCCGGGGCCCCCGGAGGCAGCCTGGAAGGCTTGGACCTCAGTCTGACGGGGCTCCCTCCACCCACGTCCCGACGCCCCAACAGCGCCTCTGCCGCCAAGCCTATGGCCTGCTCCGTCTCCGTGGCCGCCGGCGAGCCGAAGAGGAAGGCGATGGTGAGCGCTAGGGTGGGCGTCGGGGTCCCCGGCTCGCACCCCATGGGACTGGCCTTCGGGGGCATCTGACCCCAGTGCGCTCCGGCCCCCAGCCCCCCAGCCGCCTGGAGTGCAGGAAGGACCAGGCGGGAGCTGGGCGAGGGCGAGGGCGAGGGCGGGCCCTGGGCCTGCCGGGGCCTAGCTCCCGCCAAGTTCTCGTCCTCCATCAGTCCTGGGGTTTGTTTAAATCCACGGGCAGCGGGCGGGACAGGCTCCTGGAGGCCCGGGGAGCTGGCGGGCAGGTGGCGGGCTGTGAGCTCCAGGCGCCTCTGCAGGGGGTGTGGGGGGGCTCCCCCTTCTTTCCAGAGGGAGGCTGGTGGCGGCCCGCTGCTCCTGCCCCCCTCGCCCCCTCGCCGGCCAGCGCGGTGTGAGCGGGGCCGGGGCACGAGCTCGCTGTGTCCTCTCTGCAGGAGGCCACGGGGCCCATCAACAACCTTCGCCGGTCCAGCAGCACCACGCAGGTCCACCAGCCACAAGCCCGGCAGGCGTGGGCCGGCCCCCCCAGGTAACCCCTGACCCCTCAGGCAACCTCTGACCACGCTTGCTCCCGTCCTGCCTCTGTCAGCCCTTCTCCCGGCCTCGCCAGGGTGGGCCCCGGCCGGACAGTGGGGCCAGTCCTGGGGGCGGGCAGGTCGTGTCCAGACCCGTTGTCCCTGCGCGCGGGGGTGGGCTCGGGGCCGACGCCCCTGCCTGCCTGCCCCCCGTCCGGCGGCTTTTCCGGGGCCGGGGCCCGGGCGGGGCCAGAACCCCCTGCCGGTGCCCCGTCCCCGGTGCCGACCGTCCCGCCGCTGTCCCCGGCCGGCCAGGCCGGCAGCGCCCCCGGACGGCCTGACGCTCCCCGAGAGCAGCCCCGGCGGCGAGGAGGCGGCCACGTGGAACGTCCTGGTGAGAGCCGGCGCCGGGCCCGGGGACGCTGCTCCGCTCCGCCCGTCGGGGGGGGGCGCCCTGACCACACGCTCCGTCAGAGCGGGACTCCCCCGGCCGGGCTGTGCGATGGCCGTGGGCAGGGAGGGCGGGCTCAGCGCGGGGGCCGTGTCCCTGCTCGGCTGAAGCGTCTGGTTCACCCCAGGACGACCAGCCCCGGGCCCTCCCCTCGCCGCCCGCCGCCCGGAGCCCCTGTGCCCTGGACGCGCCGGCGGGCCCACGGAGGAGAGAGGGCGCCGTTCCCCTGGCTCCCAGCTTCACTGCCAACAACAGGTGCGCCTGGCAGGTGCCCACGTGGCCCGCCACAGGGGGCAGGTGCTTCGTCCTGTTTGTGGCCAGACAGGCGCTCTGGAGCGCGTGAAGGAGTGAGAGCACGTGGGTGAGCGAAGGCGGGAGAGAGAGAGTGTGGACGAGTGAAGGAG